CATAAATTATATTTGTGGCTTATTAATATACTATTCAAAATAAATTCTGATTGCTACTATACAAAATGTAATTGGTTCTTTTATTTTATCTTATTATGCAACCTGCTGAAAGAAATATCACTTACATCCATACCGTTTTTAACAAATTTTTTTGGATTCCACTTCATTGTTTCGTAAACTATCTGCCATCACTGCAGAAACCACACACTCTCTTCTTCTCAAATCTACATACCTATTCCTTATAAGTCTCTGCTAGCTACTCCCACTGAAATCTCTCAAGATACACATTTAATATTTTTTTTCTAACTAATGCAATTAACCTAAGTCTTCCATCATTAGTAATGAGTCCTTGTAGAATTTTCCAGGTTCTTGTCATCTACGCTACCTGTATTAATTTCTCAAAGTACACATCAGGTATGGACTGTGATTCCAAGTTGTGTTTATCAACTTAGGTTAAGATGTAATAAGCCTGATGTTCAATCTAAACCAACCTATACCTGCGATTAAACTCCATTTCATATGCATTTATTATCTTTTTAATAATTCTTGGATTTGATTGTTCAGAAGATCTATAACTCTTAATATCTATCTTGTTCTCTCAGAATTTCAACAGTCTTGATCTTTAGATCAAAATTTTAGCATCGATGTGCTGGCTGTATATCTATTTGGCAGGATTCTAGGAATTCTTTAACTTCTAAGTAGGGGCGCTCATGTTCTGCTTCCCGTTTGAGAGTTCCAGACAGATTATTAAATTCTTTCAGACCCACCTTTTCTTTCCCTCCGTGATTCAACAGTATAACTTTATTTTGTTACCATCCTACAAGGTTACGGTTGTTTTTCGTTTGGTCCTATACTGATCTAGTGTAAATAGGTAACCGTCCTATCTTTAAATTCATATTCCCGCATCGTCCACTCTGTATTACAATCCAGAAAGTTTTACAATTTATTGTTATATATTTTTTATCTCTATAAATTTCCATTTAGATCTCTATATAATCTTTGATAAATCACAATTTTTCAATTGATTCAAAAAATTTTTAATTATTATATATATTAATGCCTCAAATGTTGATAATTTCCAATATGTACTTACTCATATGGTATTAATTTATCACTTTCCTTCAGAAGGGTCTTTTCCTGGTTCTTAGTACTACATTAAGTTTTATTATCCTCCATTTTTTATATTTACGTACTCATTTATTTAAGATTTTTAAAGCAAAAGTTACTGTTTCAGCACAAGGTTTGTGGCGTGTTCCATTTACAAATTTTTAGAGACGTTAACCTATGGCTTGGCTCATAGATTTTATATTCACTGCTGCCCACTGTTCTCTGCTGTATTCTAAAGAATGAAATTCTTTCAGATTGGACCTTTGATGCTATAATCTATTAAGCGAGCTTTATAGCTACTAAAGATATACAGCCAGCTTGGGAGGGTACCTCTGCCTTTGGAAAATAGGAGGTGGGAATTTGCTGATTCTTTGTTGCTCTCCCCCCATGTGGAACGCATGGGAGGAGTATCTAGTCCCTAAAAGACAAAGTGCTTCCTCACCGGCACTCTATGAGGAGACTCCCTGCATTGGGTCCATCACACACTGCCTCTGCAAGGGGAGATAATCTCAGGCCACTTGGGAAGAAACCACTTTTTGCTGCTTATTGCTCAGAAGCTCTCGTCAGTCCCCCTTCCGGTTTCTGTGATATCAGCCTGTTTAATAAACTCCATTCAGTTTAAGTGGCAGACCTAGCTACCCTGCCTTCTGTGTTCTATTGGCCAAAAAGAGCCGTAATCAGTTTCCTGTGTGGGTGAGCAATGTGAGACCACAGTTTCTATCTTTCCCAGTCTTGAGACTAATCAGTTACTTTATTTACTTTCAGGGTCTCTGTGTTTCATGCATTTTCATGTTTACTTAATCTCCTGAGGCCGCAGAGGGAGATAAGTCTATGCCATCTTGGCAGACCAGAAATCTCATTCCAACCATTCTGATTACCAGCTCTAATGCTGATATTGATCAATTTTCATTTATTTCATAACATAACATTGTCCTCACGTTTATTAATGCTTCTTCATTATATCTTATTACTCCTTACATACATAGCAGTTTAAAATAAAACATTTGACAACTTTCAGTATATGCTATAACAATCCAAGCCTAATCTTTATTTAAATACATTCACATGATCTAACATTTTATATTTAGAGAATTCGCTTATTTTTCTGGGTAACAGTAGACCGTTACCTAATTGTATATTTTAAAAAGTACTGAGCATTATGATAATAACAATTTATCCAATATAAAACCTTATGATTAGGTTTGCAGGAATAGAAAAGGATATTTAATGATGAGTTAAAAATAAATTTATTTATTTTATGTAAAGCTTTGACGAAATGAGATCTTTTCTCGTTGGAATTAGTCCTCTGCAATACTGCAAATCATTCTTAAGAATCATTTTCTTATTCTAGCCATTATGACATAATAGCTAATTCAAAGCTTACTCTCTACTTTTGTATACGATGCTCAAGAAACTTTGTTAATAAGAACAATGCTTTGACGAATACAGCGCTTCCATAGGCTTCAGGCCTCCGGGTCAGGACACAGGAAGGCTCAGTAAATGGAAGGGAGGGCACTGTGTGTGACCACACGGGGCGGGGAGCATCGCGCAGGCGCGATCTGCCATGCAAACACTACTCCCTCTGTCTTTAATGTTCCGGCCACTAGGGAAAAATGGTAGTGAAAAAACAATCATTTTCAAGCTTTAAGCATAAAAATTATACAAAAAATACGCATACATTTGCTTATTTATTTTATTTTTTAGGTTCAAGTTCTTCGAATGAAGGCATGAACTAACAGTGCATTTTTAAAAGAGCACCGCTTCTAAACTCCCTTGATAAATTGGCATTAAGAATGAACAAGGCTTCCACTCATCATATTATATTCAAACTATTTTTCTGACAGCAGTTGTGATTTCTTCTAAAGTAAGATTCCTCCGAATACAAAATTTTAATCACAGAAAATTATCTACTTATTATGAAAACGGAGCAGCGTTATATTTTGTGTAAAGTGTATCACATTATATATTCTATCCCTATAATGGTAGGAAATTAGTTGTTTAAATGGCCTCCACAAATACAAGTATTAATAATGCATCATTAAGTTTCACAAATATTTGCAATTCATGTTTCCAACGCAGAAAATGACATACCCTGATATGGATTTATGTCTTGCTAAACTAGAATTACATTAAGTTGTTTTCTGAATAGATAGGAAATCGAAGGAACGCATTTCTTTGTGGAAGATTAATTATAAAAGCTTTAAAAATTACTTATCAATTTATTATTGCCTTTTTCTAATAATGTATATGTATACTTTTGCTAAAAAGTTAAGAATATATTTTAACTGAGGAATAGTTTACATGCAGTGAAATACAAAGATCTTAAATGCACAGTTGGATACGTTCTGAAAGGCACACATTGGCTGATTAATATTCTTTTCAGTCATAAAACAGCTACTCTGTGCCCCTTCCCAGTAAAATACAGTCCTAGAAACAATCACTGACACTTTCTCAGCATAATATATTATTTTGTCTCTTCTAGAATGGAATATATAGAATGGAATTATACTGTACTTAACTTTTTATATTTGACTTCTTTCATTAGGAGTATTTTCTTTTTGATTCACTTATGCTATATATTTTAGCAGTTTGTTCACTTATATTGCTCTGTAATGTTCCATTGTATGAATATACTAAACTTATTAATTCATTATGCTGCTGTGATACCAGAGATGTTTCCAGTATTTTGCTATTATAAATAAAGCTGCTATAAACATTCTTGTACAAGGCTTTTGGCAGTTTTATAATTTTATTTCACTATAATAAATACCTGAGTGGAATTGAGAAGTGACTAGATAGACATATAATTAACTTATTAATAAATTGCCAAACTTATTTCCAAATGTATTACCACTTATTTTATTGTGGTAAATAACACATAACATAAAATGTATCACTGTAACCATTTCAAGTGTACAGTACAGTAGTGGTAACTCTGTGCACATTGTTGTGTAGCGGATCTCCTGAAATTCTTAATTTTGCAAAATTGAAACTCTATACTCCTTAAGAAACTAACCATTTCCCTCCACCCTAAACCTTTGGAAAACACCATTTTATTTTCTCCTTATAAGAATTTAACTAGTTTAGATATCTCATACAAGTGGCATAATATAGTATTTGTCTTTTTATGAATAGCTTATTTCACTTAATGTCCTCAACACTCGTCCACATTGTAGGAAATGATAGAATTTTGTTCCTTTTTAAGGCTGAATAATATTCTGAATAATATTCTGTTTTATGTGTATATTACATTTTGTCAACCATTCATCAATCAACAAACATTTAGGTTGGTTCCACCTCTTGACTATTATGAATAAATCTGCAATGATTATCTTTCACAACCTGCTTTCAGTTATTTTGGATATATACCCAGAAGGGGAATTGCTGGATCATATGGTTATTCCATTTTTAAAATGTTTTGAATAATGGACATGCTGTTTTCTATAGGAGCTGCACCATTTAAAATATCCAGCAACATGCCGGCGTTTCCAATTTATCCACATCCTCTCCAACACTTGTGATTTTCTGTCTTTTGTTTTGCTTTGTTTTGATAATGGCTGTGCTAATTGTTGTGAGGTGATATATGACTGTGGTTTTGATTTGAATTTCCCTGAGAATAAGTGATGTTGAGCATATACTTTTTGGCCATTTGCATAACTCTTTTAAGAAATGCTTATTCAACTACTTTGTCTATTTTTTAATCTGGTTATTTGTTTTGTTTTTGTTGTTGAGTTGTAAGAATTATTTATATATTCTGGATATTATCTATTTTTTAATGTTTCTGGCCACTAGGGAAAAATGGTAAGTGGAAAAGACAATCCACATTTTCAAGCCTTTACAGTCATATAAAAATTATAAACATAATTGCATTATTTTTATTTTTTTATTTTTAGGTTCAAGTTCTTCGGAATGCTGGAGAGGAAGTGACCCTAACAGTGTCATTTTTAAAAAGAGCACCTGCTTTCCTCAAACTCCCGTTGAATGAAGATTGTGCATGTAAGAATGGATAAAGGGTTCACATCATCATATTTATATTCTAAACTATTTCTTTCTGACAGCAGTTGGTGATTTCTTCTTAAAGTTAAGATTCCTGCCTGAATACAAATATTTTTATATCACAAAATATTCTACTAACCTTATTGAAAAGGGAGCAAGTGTAATTTTTGTTGTATAATGTATTCACATTATAGTTATTTTCTATCCTATAATTGTAGGAGTATTATTTGTTTTAAAAATGGGCATCACATCAAATATCATATATGTATAATGTGCATCTATTAAGTTTCATTCAGAATATTTGGCAAATATGTTTTCTCTAACCAGAAAATGACATACCCTGATTGGATTATTGGTCTTGCTAAACTAGGATTTACATTTAAGTTGTTCTGATGAGAGTAGGAAGATTGAAGGAAGCATTTGCCTTTGTGGAAAGGTATTAATTTATATAACAGCTGCTTAAAAATTTCTTTATCAATTTTATTTTATTGCTCTTTTTTCTAAATAAAATGTATATTATGTAATACTTTTGCTAAAAAGTTAAGAATATATTTTAACTGAGGAATAGTTTACATGCAGTGAAATACAAAGATCTTAAATGCACAGTTGGATAAATGATATCGAACCTATTTAAATACTATTTCTAACATTGACAGTATCAGGCTGATGAAATAGGCATTCAAAGCATAGGAGAAACCTGAGGGTAGGGTGGGGAACCACAGCACACTATCTCAATCCTGCTCACTGAAAGATTAATAATCCTCATTTGTTAGGAAATGTGTACACATGAAAGACTTGAAATTGTGATTGCATAGAGAAATACCATATGTGACCTTTAACTTTAAAAAAATCACTATTCTCTAGGGTGAAATTTTTAAATTTTAAAGTTTTACGTTTCTCATTTATACTTGAATAAAACTTTAAGAATGAAGCACAAATTTAAAACTTTAAAAGTAGAGCAATTGTCCATTTCCTTTTAGGTAATCATGTTTAATTTATAATAGTCATATTGATCTCATATTTATTTTAGATGTTCATAGCTGTTATGTCTTTATTATTTAACACTAGATATCATTCTATACACTTACTATAGAATATGGGTATTTAGCTATTTAATTCCACTGCTCATATATTTTATTTCCTCATGTATTTATTATTTTTATTTCCCCAATCTCCATAGTTAGATAATGCTGATTAATATCAATATTGTGCTAATATAATAATACAAATAAATTAGCTAATTAATACTAACCAAAAATAAGAAAATTATAAGGACTTCAATGGAATTGTCTTAAATCTATAGAAAATAGAACAGATTGATATCTTATAGTTTATATTTAGCATTCCATGACATAAAATATCCTTCTTTTCAAAATACACTTATATTTGTTGGTTGATATTAAACCAAACCAAGTGATATTTGTATATTAACTTTGCATCTATGCCTTTCCATATTAAGCTCACTTTAATAACTCACCTTGATATATTCATGTAATGATATATATAGGTTCTTAAGGTTTCTTATATTAAATCATGTAATCTCTGCATAATGACAGTTTCATTTCCAATTTTATGCATGTTATCATTTCTTTTCTTGTCATATTGCACAAAGACATAAAAAAGAATAAAAGGATAGGGGACATTTTTCTCATTTCGGCTCAGAAATGTTTCAATAATTCACCATAATATTTTTGTACATATCTTTATTTTTTTAGTTATAAGGTATTTTGAGTTAGTATAATGCTCTTTATATAGTTAATATGAAGATAATCATTTGTTATTCATTTTCTAAGGTTTTTGTAAATATTTCTCATATCTATCAAAATGATTATATAATTTCTACTTTTTTCTATTTTAATATGGTAAAATACATTGCTTTTCATTGTTATATTCTCTGTTTTATATCTCCAGTATAGAAATACTGACATATAATAAACTGCACATATTAAAGTATATGGTTCAATACATTTGGACATATGCGTATACTTAGGCAGTCACCCTCACAATCAATGATAGAATACTCACTTACTCCAGAATTTTGATGCTGCTACCACATAATCCCTCCCTTGCCATCTCCTTTTCCATTCTCTAGACAACTACTAATATGCTTGTGCAATACATTGCATTTCTAATTTTACCTAATGAACCTTATAATAGGTAGTTATGTTGTCTGGCTTCTTTCACTCAGTATAATACTTGGTATTCTTTTCACCCCGTAGCAGTTATCAACAGTTCATGCATTTTCCTTATTATTGCTGATCACATTCCATTGTGGTATCTACCCAATTTGTTTGCCTTCACTTTTTGATGACATTTAGGTTGTCCACTTTTCTGAGGATAAACATACAGCTGCTAGAGAATTCACAAAATACGTTGGTATGGACATTTGCTTTCATTTCTCTTGGTAAATTTCTTAAAATGGATTACTGGGTCATGTGGGCATAGAACATTTAATATATGAAATCTAAATTAGTTTTCAAATTGTTGCTCCATTTTTCATTTCCATTAGTAGTCTCTGAGAGTTCCAGTTTCTACACAACATTACCTATGCTCAGTATCTCAGGTGTTTATAATTTAGACATTCTGGCATATTTATATTGGTATCTCACTATGAATTTTTTTATATTTCCCTAATTGCTAATATTTTCATGTACTATATTACCAATCAATATAAGTTCTTTTGGACATCCTTGTTAAGATTTGGCCATGTTACATTAGAGTCATTTGTATTATTACTGGGTTTTGAGGGTCTTTTATTTTGGGATATGTTTTTTCACATAAAGATTTATAATATGTTCTCACAGATCAAGCCTCTTTTAAAAGTGTTTTGTTTTTTTTTGTAAATAGATATTACATTGTGGTGACTTTCAAACTAAAAGTTTTTTATTTTACTCCAATGTCACAAAAGTTTCCTTCAATTACTTCTAGAAGTTGTTTTGTAATTTAGGCTTTTACATTTAGTCTTGTTCTTTGAGGTCATCATAGTATGTGGTGTGATATCAAAACTCTTTCTTTTTTTCTAACCGAGGATATCAATTATCACACAATTTATTGGGAATTGCACTTTGTCCACTCCTTTGCACCTTTGAAAATTAGTTGTTCATTTTGTTTGTGTTTTATCTGGACACTTATTTTCATTTGTTATCCTTTTTTATTATCCATATCTTGATCACATATAGCTTTGTAATATCTTCTTGAATTGCAGTAGGTTGTTTTTAAGCTTTGCTCTTTTTCAAATTGATTTGGTTATTAGATCTTTTATATTCCATATGAATTTAGAATTAGTTTCTCAATTTTATAGAAGTCTACTGAGATGTCCAATTGGGTTACAATTTAATCAACATGTTATTAAGGTAAGACATGTCATTCTTAACAATATTGAGTTTTCTGACACATATATTTAGACTTTACAAGCTACTTTTAGCAGTTTTTGATTTCAATGTACAGAGCTCTCAAAACTTTTCTAGTTTGATACTAACATTTCATATTGTGCTTTATTAAGTGATTATTTTCAAAATTAGAATTCTGATTGCTATATACAAAATGTAATTGTTATTTATTTTTATCTTATTTATGAACCTTGCTGAAAGTTAATATATCACTTACTGGATCCAGTGCCTTTTTAACAATTTTTTGTTGGATTCCACTTCATTGTTTTGTAACTATCTTGCCATCTGCAGAATAAACACACTTGTTCTTTCAAATCTTTACCTAGTTTTCTTCTATATTACTCTCTTAGTACTTCCATTGAAATGCTGACTAGAAGTGGAAGATAGTACAGACATTAAAATTTTTTCTAAACTTATGAATTAAAGGCCTCGCTCCATCATTTAGTAATGTGTTACCTGTAGAATTTTCACAGGTTTTTTGGTCAGTTTTAGAATCCTGTTATTAATTTACTCAAAGTATACATCAGGTATGGATGTGGGATGTTGCCAATGTTTTTTGTTTAGTCACTTAGTTTTTTAATACGGTTAATTATGCTGATTGGTTTTCTATGCTAAACCAACCTATATTCCTGGGTTAAACTCCAGTTGATCATTATGCATTTTTATCTTTTTAATATATTCTTGGATTTGATTTGTTAGAAGATTCTGATAATGCTATATTATGTCCTTCATCCTTGGCTGCTCTTCAGAGTTTCACATCTTTGATCTTAGATGCAAATTTTAAGCATGATGTGTCTTGGTGTAGATTTCTTTGGCAGGATTCTTAGGAATTCTTTAAGCTTCTGAAGTATGGGGGCTCATGTCTGTTCCAGTTTGAGAAGTTTTCGACAGTATTTGTTTAAATATTCTTTCAGACCACATTTTCTTTCTCCTCTGTGATTCAGATAGTATGAACTTTATTTTGTTACATCCTACAGGTTACTGAGCTTTTTTTTTTTTTGGTCTATATTATCTATTGTTCAAATAGGTAAATTCTATTGTTCTGTCCTTATCTTTATTAATCTATATTCCGCCATCTCCACTCTGTCATTGAGCTAATCCAGAAAGGTTTTACAAAATTATTTTATTTATATTTTTTACCTCTATAATTTCCATTATATCTTCTATATAACTCTTTGATGAAATTTCACAATTTTCATTGATTCAAAGAATTTTAATTATTGAAATATTTTTATTAAAGTTGCTTCAAATATGTGTTGATAATCCATATGTGATTTATTCATTGTAATTAATTTATCATCTTTTCTCTTCAAAGGTGCTTTTCCTGTTCTTAGTATGACATGTAATTTTATTGTATCCTAAGCCATTTTGTTTATATGTTAGGTGACTCCAGTCTTATTTAAGATTTTTTAAAGCAGAAATTTACTGTTTGCACAGAGGTTTGTGGGCTGTGGTTCCATTTAAAATATGTTTTGAGAGACTGTTTATACTTTAGGCTTTGTCTCATAGATTTACCTTATCTCACTGGGGTGCCCACTGTTCTCTGCTGTGTTATTTGAAAGATGAAAATTTCTTTTCCAGATTGGACCTTTGATGCTACTATTAGGTGAA